ATAAAAATTTCATTAATAAATTATTTTTTTACTCTCCCCTTCCTCGAACATTGTCTTATCTATTGTTTCATTGAAAACGTATAATGAAAATGATCGTGTTTTTTGAATTATTTTTATTTATCAATGTGCAATAATTAAATCTGCGCTAAGCTTTTCTTATCAACAAGGAAATATTTTTATGTCATGAAGCACTCTTTTGTAAATTTGTTAAATTGAAATAAATATTATAAAGCAGGAATTCAAGTTTTGAAAAAAAATCTTTTAATGAATTATTAACACGAATTCATGAAGTTCGTGATCATTTTTAACTATTTCTGGTAAAATATCTGACGAGTTTTGGGAATAAATAAGCCATGGGAACATGAGCAAAAACAGTACAGTGTGCATTATGAAGCTTTTACATTTCTTCGTTATTGCGATTATTGCTAAAGAAGTCTTACCTGAACGTGCTCCCAGCAATGCATGTTCAAGTGATGATGTGGGGTTTAGTCCAGAGGACATTTCAAATCAATTGTTAAGCATCAGGGACTATCTCGATGGACTTTATGATGATTTTTTGCCATACTTCCAAGGCCAGGAAATTGAAAGCTTCAAAGGTTCAAAAATTGAAATTCTGGATGATGTCGCTAGTCTTTTAGGAAACATTATTAGTGCGTTAGCGGAAAGAGAAATTACAATTTCGTTAGATAGCATTGTACAAGCGATTGAAGCGTTGATAGACAATCAGACAACAACAGGAACTCTGAAGACCATAGAGGACTATGTGAGCTCTGCAAATCTCACGAACCAAATTTTATTCATTATTTTCAAGTCAGTTATGGAAGCTTTGGCAATTGAAACTGAATCTACTGCTGATTATTTAACTCAAGTTGCGAAAATGGAAATTAATCCGGCCGACTATCCCATTAGCTGCATTGCTCAAGATTTAATAGATTTCTATAACTTTATGATAAATTTATACATAGAAGTTGAAAACAACGTTCTTCAAGTGGTTGAGGGTCTGAGAGGGCAATAAGGCACGCATAAATTGAAAACAAGTTTCAAAGAAGATATTTTAAAGAAAATTGAAGTATAATAAACATTTTTTGTTTATTTCTTAATTAAATGGAAAAATAAAATCATTTTGAAATAAAAGCAAGAAAAATTTTCAACATTCTCTTGAGATTTAAAAAGTTGAGAAAATTAAATGTTTTAATAGTCTTTTCTTGTATCTTTGTCATTATTTAACAGGTCTAAATAAAATATGATTGAAAGTCGCTTTCCAGTGAGATTTCCTACTCAAAAAGGAAATAATTTTTATGTCATGAAGCACTCTTTTGTAAAATTTGTTAAATTGAAAGTTGAAACAAACATTATATAGCAGGAATTCAACTTTTAAAAATATTCTTTTAATAAATTATTCACACGATTACCTACTTTGGTTTAAACGAACTTCGTGATAATTTTTAAGTATTTCTGATTAATATATCTGACAATAAATATTTCTGGTAAAATATCTGATGAATTTTGGAATAAATATGCAAGGAAACATCAGCAGAAACAGTACAGTGTAAATTTTGAAGCTATTACATTTCTTCTTTATTGTGATTATTGCTAAAGAAGCTTTAACCGAACGTGCTCCCAGCAATGCATGAATGTTCAACTGCTGATTTGGGGGTTAATCCAGGAGACGTTTCAGATGGGTTTTCAGGCATCAAGGATTACTTCGACGAACTTTTCAATAATTATTTGTCATACTTCCAAAGCCAGGAAGTAGATAACTTTAAATTTACAAAATTAGAGCTTCTGAATGAAGGCGTTGAACTTTTTGAAAACATTGTAAGCGATTTAGAGATAAATGAAATTTCAATTTCGCTAGATGGCATTCTACAAGCATATGAAGAGTTGATAGACAATCAGACACCAGCAGGAACCCTGAAGAATAAAGCAATTTGGACTATGTGAGGTCTGCAAATCTCACGAACCAAATTTTATTTAGTTTTTTCAAGTCAGTTATGGAAAGGATGGGAGTTGAAACTGAATCTACTGCTGATTATTTAACTCAAGTTGCGATAATGCGAATCAATCCGGCCGACTATCCTATTAGCTGCATTGCTAAAAAAATAAATGGATTTCTATAACTTTATGCTAAATAAATACATAGAAGTTGGAAATACCTTTCTTCAAGTGGTTGAGGATCTGAAAGGGCAATAAGGCACACATAAATTGAAAGAAAGTTTCAACACTTTTAAAATTTGAGTCGTGAACTAAAAAGCTAAAGATATTTTAAAGACAATGGAAGTAGGTAATAAACATTTTTTGTTCATTTAAAAAATGAAAAAATAAAATCATTTTGAAATGAAAACAAATTAAATGATTAACATTTTTTTAAGATATAACGAAAAATATTACATGAATGACATACATCATACAAGTCACAACAACTTCCCGTTGCACATGTTGCATTTGAATACAACATGCAAGAGTAAGGATTGCAACAAGAATTGTTACAAAATTGTGGCAATCCACAGTCACATTCATCACCAAATTCAACGAATCCATTGCCACAAATTGGCGATTCAAATATCTTTGTTGGTTTATTTTTAAGACAATAATCCATTCCATGATGGAAAGCGAGATTGAGTTGGTCAATGCTGCACGAACTCCAATGTGTTGGTGCAACTGAAAAACTTGACGATGACATAATACAACGATCATCAGGACATGTGCAGTCATCAGTGTCGTGTTCCACTTCATAGTTATGTTCTATTTGATGTGCAATTATTGGCGCTATTATTGCCACAATCTTGCTCAAGAAACTAAAAATGTTATATTCTATTTGCATACGACCTTTTTTTTGTCACGACCTAATTTTAAACGTTCTTTTCATGATATCTCGATTCTTTGGTCACTTTTAAACTGATTGTTGGAGAATAAAGTTCAAGAATATTTAGTTGGCTACACTAGCCTTATTGTCAGTTATTTTTTTGTTTATCAATCTGTCATTGGAATGAAAGCAAGTGGGATAATGTCTAGAAGGGTGAATCTTATTGGAATATATTCGATTGTATCATTTGTGTTACTGTTTTTTGCTGTAAGAAGCTCCAACTATTATCATACATCAGATCAACCTCAGCAGATCATACAAAATCTTTCATTGGAAATTGAAGACGTTATCAATTATGAACGTTTGCTGATCGCTGAAGAAATGCAGGATTATGAATATCCAAACGGAAGATTTGGTGTTGAAGCAAAAAATCTTCAAGAATTGACACCTGAAACGGGTGGAATGCCAATACGATCCATCATCATATCGACATGGAGAAGTGGATCTACTTTCTTTGGCGATATTCTAAATGCATTGCCAGGAAATTTTTATCACTACGAGCCAATGCTATATTTCGGAATCAAGCAGATTCGAGGGCCACCTAATGACACGCAAGCAATAACTCTTTTAAAACAACTACTCAAATGTAATTATACAGGAATAGATGACTATTTAGAATATGGAGAGAATCATAAAAATACGTTCAGTCTTAATTCGAGACATTGGGAGCAATGTCAACTTTTTCCAAGCTATTGTTATCAACAAAAGTTTCTTGAGCCTTTCTGTAAGCTCTTCCCTCTACAGAGTATGAAAGTTGTTAGACTGAGAATGGAAATTGCAGCAAGTCTGCTTCGAGACACAAGGTAATGTCCAACATGATAATTGCTTTTACTACTTATTTACGGTTTACGACTAAAAAGTCGTAATTTTATTTATTACAGTGATTTTCATCGTAAACACTCACGATTTAGCAAAAAAAAACTTTGCATTTAAAATGCTACGTAGGAATTGAAAAAAGCGTCAAACAGACATAGAGATAGCGACAGAGTGACATTATACAATCAAACTATTAGATTTTCTATATTTTTTTACTTATTTTCTCTTCTTCTTCTTTTTCCTCCCACATTCATCCACCCAACAGTTTAAATGTGCGAATAGTTTTACTGATTCGTGACCCGCGTGGTTTCCTTCAATCACGAAAGCATCGTAGTTGGTGTCCGGGCAAACCCGATTGTGATAATTCTACTATTGCATGTGAGGATATGGTCTCGGATTACCATTCGGCGGTTGCTCTAGCGAAGGAATTTCCTATAAGTTTTAAGTAAGTTAATGTCCTTCGTTCTTATGACGTTACGAGTTCAACAGAACATTTAAAATGTTAATTTACTTTTTTGTCTTCATCTTCCTTAATCTTCTCTACATCAACAACAATAAACAGAGCCGTTCGCTACGAAGATCTTTCACTTTTGCCTTACAACATTACACAAGAAATTCTACAGTTTTACGGTTTGGCTTATGATCGTCGCGTTTCTAAATTTCTTGATACACACACGAAGACAAACGTTGGTGGCGTGTCATCGACAATCCGAGATTCAAAATTGGCTCCTTTTCATTGGACGCAGGAATTACCTTACAACGAAGTAAAAGATATTCAAGACAATTGTAAGGAGGCGTTGAGACTTTGGGGATATAAGGAAGCGACAAATGCTAGTGAATTATTAAAAGACTTTAATCCGCTTTTACCATTTCCTGACTTTGACTCCATTTAGGTAGTTAAATTGATTTCAATTAATGTTATTCTCGTCTACTTCTTTTCCGAATTCTAAATGTCTCAAATTATTTCAAATTTTAGCTTTTTCTTAAATAAACTTAAAATTTCAATTGAAGTTTAACTTTGACATCTACCTAAAGAAACGTTGATTTTATTTTTTAACGTTCATATCTTTTTTGTCAGTGCAACGCCAATTAAATGAAAAGGAGGGTGAGTAAAAATAAGGGAAAGTTATGAGGCAAAAATAAATAAAATAAAAGAATTCTGTGATTGAAAGTCGTAAAGAAAACTAGGGAAACTATCAGTTGGATTAATAAGCGAAAAGATGTCGAACCTTCTTAACATTTCTTTCTTTAAAAGCACTAAGTAGCGCTTATGCAAAAAAATGGCCATTTTCCAAGAATTTGCTTAATTTTTCGTGGAATTTGACTACCTACCTACGTAGTGCTTTTTTCTTAGCATTTCTTTTACATGTCAATTTTTTTGGTGAATTACCCCTCGAGAAGAAATTGACCGAGAGTGAGAAAACTTAAAGTTGAAAGCGAAAAATTATCGCAATAGTTCTTCCCTGACTTTAGATAAAATGAGAAAGAAATAGGGTAAAGTGACCTATTGTGAACACAGTTAAGAATAGGATCTATTGTGAACACACCTAATTTCGAATGCAGTTTTCTTCGCTATTTTGCATTTTTATGGCTCAAAACTTTTCAAATAGGTAGAGTAAACAGTCCCAAGTACTTTTCTGAACGATTTAGCAAAAAAAAACTTTGCATTTAAAATGCTACGTAGGAATTGAAAAAAGCGTCAAACAGACATAGAGATAGCGACAGAGTGACATTATACAATCAAACTATTAGATTTTCTATATTTTTTTACTTATTTTCTCTTCTTCTTCTTTTTCCTCCCACATTCATCCACCCAACAGTTTAAATGTGCGAATAGTTTTACTGATTCGTGACCCGCGTGGTTTCCTTCAATCACGAAAGCATCGTAGTTGGTGTCCGGGCAAACCCGATTGTGATAATTCTACTATTGCATGTGAGGATATGGTCTCGGATTACCATTCGGCGGTTGCTCTAGCGAAGGAATTTCCTATGAGTTTTAAGTAAGTTAATGTCCTTCGTTCTTATGACGTTACGAGTTCAACAGAACATTTAAAATGTTAATTTACTTTTTTGTCTTCATCTTCCTTAATCTTCTCTACATCAACAACAATAAACAGAGCCGTTCGCTACGAAGATCTTTCACTTTTGCCTTACAACATTACACAAGAAATTCTACAGTTTTACGGTTTGGCTTATGATCGTCGCGTTTCTAAATTTCTTGATACACACACGAAGACAAACGTTGGTGGCGTGTCATCGACAATCCGAGATTCAAAATTGGCTCCTTTTCATTGGACGCAGGAATTACCTTACAACGAAGTAAAAGATATTCAAGACAATTGTAAGGAGGCGTTGAGACTTTGGGGATATAAGGAAGCGACAAATGCTAGTGAATTATTAAAAGACTTTAATCCGCTTTTACCATTTCCTGACTTTGACTCCATTTAGGTAGTTAAATTGATTTCAATTAATGTTATTCTCGTCTACTTCTTTTCCGAATTCTAAATTCTAAAAATGTTGTATGTCTCAAATTATTTCAAATTTTAGCTTTTTCTTAAATAAACTTAAAATTTCAATTGAAGTTTAACTTTGACATGTACCTAAAGAAACGTTGATTTTATTTTTTAACGTTGTCAGTGCAACGCCAATTAAATGAAAAGGAGGGTGAGTAAAAATAAGGGAAAGTTATGAGGCAAAAATAAATAAAATAAAAGAATTCTGTGATTGAAAGTCGTAAAGAAAACTAGGGAAACTATCAGTTGGATTAATAAGCGAAAAGATGTCGAACCTTCTTAACATTTCTTTCTTTAAAAGCACTAAGTAGCGCTTATGCAAAAAAATGGCCATTTTCCAAGAATTTGCTTAATTTTTATT